ACGTACAGGGTGTGTCAGAACTGGCACTTAAAATGAGCGTGTGCCTTTCTGTCTCGTTTTTGGTGCTGGGGATGGAACTGGCCTCCCTCATGCGGAGCACTTGCTCCGCCTGAGCTGCACCCCGGCCCCTGGGTCTGCTGATCCCCTGATGCCCTTTTTCCTGTACCAGTTGCCTCTTGGTACCAATAGTGGTGAGAAAGCCATTTTTATTTCTCTAAAATGAAAAAAGATAATTTTTTTTCATTGTCATTTGTTTTGTTGGGCACAAAATATTAAAGCTGTTCTTGTCTTATCCTCCTGGATTTGGGAGAGATTCTAGGATTGAAGTGTTACTGGGCCACCTGTCACTTGTTGTATTCACACTTATCACAGTGAAATCCAGTCAGCCTTTGGGTGCTCAATAAACACCACATGCAGGCCTGGCTTGCTCTCATTCTCAAGATGGCCTGCATTCTCCCATGAATGAGTATCTGCTTTCCTAAATAAACCTTTTTTTTTTTTTTTTGTACCAGGGATTGAATGAAGGGGTGATTTTCCACTGAGGCACATTCCCAGCCGTTTTTAATATTTTATTTAGAGATGGGGTCTCACTGAGTTGCTTAGGGCCTTTCTAAGTTGCTGAGGCTGGCCTTGAACTTGCCATCCTCCTGCCTCAGCCTCCTGAGCTGAGGTGCACCGCCGGGCCTGGCTCCTAAATAAATCTTTATATTTCTGGGGAAAACAAACGAACACACATGCACTTCGGAAAATGAACTCAAGGTTCCTGTACACTGTAGCACTGCCTTGACATAAAAAGATAGACTGTCATTTTTAGTCATTCCTGGAACGGTGAGACTCAGAAAGCACATTTATTTTTAAAAACAACCTTATGTTTGTATCGTGCTTTGTGTCCATTATGAGCCCCTGTGGAGCTGTGTGTGAGAACCAACATCATCTTCATCTCCTCCCTGATGTGGAAGAGATCCAGGCTGTGTGGCCCCCGTGACCTGCCCAGGGTCACCGGCTTGTCAGTGGCTGTGTCAGTCGGGTCCTGGCAGGAGACACAGGCACTCTGCAGTTGGTAACCTCCGCAGGACTCACTACAGGAGCTCTGCAGAGTGAGGGCTGGGCTGGTGTGGGGCTGTGGGGAGCTGTCTGGGTCTCCCCGGGAGAGGCAGGACCAGGAGGCTGCAGAGCTGACGCGGGAAGACCTGTCAGCCTCCACCCTCCCTCAGACCCTCGGTGGGGAGCTCCTCTTGGGCCTCCAGATGGTAGGGAGGGTGTCAAAGTCCATGAGCAGGTGTGTCTCCTGGGGCATAGAGCAAGGGACAGAGGGCAGGGCGTGGCTCTGGGTGGGGCAGGCAACACGGGTGTCCTGCACAGAGGTGGACCCACGGGCGCGCCTCTGAGACCCTAGACCTTTAGTAAATAGCAGACAGCACGCGAGGCTGGGTAGATGGCCATGACCGTGACCCTGACCGTGGCCACCGCCTCACCACTGAAGCCTATTTCAGATGTCACGATGTACACCTTGAGTATGTCGGTGCTGTTAGTGATGCTGCAGCAAAGCGGAAAGCTCCCTGTCCCGTTCTTAGACCTCCTGTCCCACCCTCAGACCTCCTGTCCCCACTTCCTATACTGTTTTCCATAACACAGTGGCTTAGACACACCAAGTCCTAGCAGGACCTTCCAGAGGAGTTCTCTCGGCACAGGTTGGCAGAGGTATCCTGGAGCCTTGTCGATGGCTCTGTGGGCACTGGCCACAGGCTGGCTGGGCTTCAAGAAGAAGAGACTCCATTTCACTATCTTTTCACATCTAGCCATTAAAGCTTCTTCTTATTATTTTTTGTTTTTAATGTTTATTTCTTAGTTTCAGGTGGACACAGTATCTTCATTTTACATTTATGTGGTGCTGAAGATGGAACCCAGTGCCTCTGCATGCTAGGCGAGTGCTCCACCACTGAGCCCCAGCCCCAACCCCCAGTAAAGAGGACTCCACGGCATGATCTGCATTTGGCCGCCTGGCTGTGTTGGCCTGCAATGCCCTGGCATGAGGCTGCAGGTTTTATGAAGAGGAAGCACCGTGGGGTTTGGCACCTTCTGCCTGGGAGGAGTTCTCATTCACCTTTCTCCTGGCTCCTCTGGGGGCGAAAGTTGTAAAAGTTTAATGACAGTGACCTCTTCCAAACCCAGCAGCTGGGAGTGCAGTGTAATGAGAAATCAAGACCCAGTGTTCTCAGAGCCCACCCCGAGGTCATGGAGAAAGAATTCTCAGTTCCTGTCCCAGCAGGACTTTATTTCCAGATAAATGAAGCTATGGTCACATGCAGCCCTTGTGGCCTGGCAGGTCATGCTCCTGAAAGAAGCTGAACCCGTCCACAGTGACATAGCCAGACTGTCCCCGCACCTCCACCCAGATCAGCCCCTCCACACGGCCTTTCCCCAGGCCCAGAGGGTCTTCCCAGCTCTGCTCAGCAGGGTCCTTGGTACCACCAGAACTGACCTACGAGCCACCAAGTTAAGCCAGCAGGTCCTCGTGACCAACTGGGCAGTGGCCCAGCAGCTGTTTCTGTCTTGAACTTTGCACCCACTTCCTTATGTGGACTACCCTCCCAGTCCCCCGCCCCTGATTCACCTGTGGGCTCTCTCTGACACCTGGCTGGCACCTCACCCGGACTCATTTCTCCGTAGCATCTACACCATCTAGCCTACTTTCTTCCCAGGTTTATTTACTCAATTTTGGGGGGTAAAACACATGTGGCATGAAATTTACCATGTCACCCCTATTCCCAGAACAGGCGCAGTGTGGGGCAGCCATGCCCTTTCTGATCTCTAGAATTGTTGCCCCTTTCCCAGGTAGAACTCTGCCCATGGACCGCTGCTGGCCACTACCCTCCCTCCAGCCAAGGCCCCACATTCCCCTTGGTCTCTACAAATGTGACTACACTAGGGGGCTCTTTGAAGTGGAGTCAGACAGTATTTGTCTTTTTTTTTTTTTTTTTTTTTTTTTTGTACTGGGCATTGAACCCAGGGGCACTTAATCACTGAGCCCCATCCCCAGCCCTTTTCTATATTTTATTTAGAGACAGGGTCTTGCTAAGTTGCTTAGGTCCTCGCTAAGTTGCTGAGGCTGGCTTTGAATTCCTGATTTTCTTGCCTCAGCCTCCCCAGCTGCTGGGATCACAAATGAATGCCACCATGCCTGGCTAATATTTGTCCTTGAGTGTCAATTTCACTAGCATGGAGTCTTCGGGGGTGTAATCCACATTGTTGCAGCTACCAGTATCGGATTCCTTTGAAGACTGAATGATACTCTGGGGTGTGTGTGTGTGTGTGTGTGTGTGTGTGTGTGTGTGAGAGAGAGAGAGAGAGGGAGAGAGAGAGAGAGAGAGAGAGTTCATCTATCCCCTGTCAACAGACACTTGAGTTGCTTCCACAGTTTGCTATTGTGAATGTGAGACTATGAACATGGGTGTACAAATGTGTTTTCAAATTCTTCTGCTTTCAAATCCTTAGTGTTTGTGCTCAGAGTTAGAGTTGCTGGATCCAATGGCAGTTGTGTGTTCAATCCTTTGAGGAATCGCTATGCCGTCTTCCACAATGGCTGCACCATTTCACCTCCCTGCCCACAGAACCTAGTTTTCTTCTGTATTTTGTTTAGTGTCCAACCGCAATGCTTGCCAGGGTGGAGATTAGCTTCCTGAGTACCCAGAACCTTTCTTGGCACGTGATTGGTGTTTGTTAAATGAACCAACTGATCAGTTCCTCCAGCTCGTTGGCATCATCTGAAACCCTTCATGGCTAGCTGGAGGCCAGGAGCCTGTCCGCCTCACAGAGCTCCTGCCCACCTTGGGCAAGCCTGGCAACTCTGCCCCTGTCTGCTTTACAACCATATCCCTCTCTGTCTCTCTCTATCTCAGGGGCTGGGGATCAACTCAGGGCCTCAAGCCTGGGAGGCAGCACTCCACCACTGAGCCACACCCTGGGCTCCATAACTGGGCACAGTTAAGGATGACAAACCAAGAAACTGGCTTATTGATTGCTGGCCTCCTTGCATCTTTGTTTTTGCCACCTTTCTAGCCCAGGGACAGTCACATTAATCAGTGTCTCCAGAGAAGAGCTGTCTTTGGAGAAGGGTCCGAAAGGCTCCCAGAGAGAAGGGAGAACTTGAGTCAGGGGGTCTTGGCACACCTACCAAAATGAATTCCAGCATCCGCCAGAAAAAGGCATGGACAGAGGTAATTTAGGAAATAGATAGGCATTCAAGAGAGAATGCAGGCCATCTCCACCTGCCTAGGCTGGGGCTCCCATATTCATAGAGGGCTATATCAGGGCAGGACTGGAGCCAGGGTGGAGTCGCACTCCTTCCAGCAGTTTTCCCTGCGCTTGAGTATTCCCCGCATTTTACAAGGGCACAGCCAAGGGCATGCATATGCTGCATCCCAGTGGCTCCTGGTGCTTCCTTGAAGACCAGTCTCTCTCTCATCCTAATTCCCTATCTCCAGCTGATGTTCTAAAACCCAGCTAAGCGGGGGCACCGTGGGGACTCTCTGGAGCCAGTCCCCCATGGAGTCCCTGTTGGTATGGCCTTAGCACACAGCTGGTTCCTCAAGCCTGGCCCTCCTGGGTCTGATGCATAGGTCACAGTGTGACGTGTCGGATCCTCAGAAACGGTGCGTGGGCTCCAAGACACCGCTGGCAGGGACACTGTTCCTCAACTGTGGGCTCCCCCAGTGGGATAGGGATAAAAGAAACACGCACAGAGAGGTTAAGGACACCAGCCTCCCTCCCCACTGCCGGAGCTTCAGAGCAGCGCTGGGAGAGCTTGGGAGGCTGCGCGGCTTCCTGTCCTTGTTAAGAGGGGAAAAGGTCCTTGCAGCCCACGTGGGTCATTTGCTTATTTTAAACTGTTTATCTTTCTGCCCATTCTCCAGGGAATTCATGATTACAGGCCAAAAATGGGCTTTGGGTGCCCCCATTGCTCAGCTATTTGTGTATAAATATGGCTCGGGCAAAGTCTGCAGAGGATCGCAAGGCCCTCTGTCCATACCGCCCGTCTTGGTCTCTGACTAAGAAAGACTTGAGAAGTTTACACCTGAGAGTGGGAGTTTAAAGCCCTCCATGTATTTTTAAAATCTTTCCAATGCCCGATGCTCTGACATTATTCGCATCCTACTTCAACACACAGGCCGGAGCTCAGCCACAGAGCATGACAGCCCCAGCACAGCGCTTCATTTTCACCAGCCACTCCTGGTTTTACTGCAGTGACACAGGGACACTGCAGACAGCAGTGTGAGGGAGCTGCCTGGATGATGAACTGGTGAGGCGGGAGAGCCCCCCAGGGGGGGGGGACTGAGAGGAAGCCCCTCCCTCAAGATGGGGCTTGGCCCACGAGAGGGGACGAGAGAGCCGCTGAGGGTGCTGCGTAAAGGGGACACACAACTGGCTTGGGGGCCCCTAGGATGGCCAGCCCAGCAGGTACGGAAGGGGATTTGCCAGGAATGGTGGAACCAGGTGGAGATGGGAAAGATCCGCTGGAGGTTCTGGGAGGCGGGAAGGCCCAGAGTGAACCCAGTGCCTCATATGAGGAGGCAAGTGCTCCACCAATGAGCCATAGCCCAGCCCCGGCATGTCCTCATAGCACCAGGGACGAAGGAGGGGGGAGGTGAGCTGGTGGGCAACAAGGGCAGGATCGCGGGGGCCTCAGCTATGAGAGGCCTTTTTTTTTTAAATAATTTTTTTAGTTATACATAGACACAATATCTTTATTTTGTTTATTTATTTTTATGTGATGCTGAGGATCGAACCCAGGGTCTCTCACGTGTGAGGTGAGCGCTCTACCACTGAGCCACAACCCCAGCCTGATGTCCCTCTTCCCAGGTTCTGCACAGGGCTCAAGTTCATGACCCAGCTTTCCTGCTGACTCTCAGGGCATGGGGACCCTGTGGGCAGAGGGCAGAGCCAGGCAGTGCTCAGCAGTGGTACAGAGGCTGCCTGCACCCCAGGCTGGTCCCTTAGGCAGGTGGACTCGGTGGCCTCCCATTTCAGGACAGGGAGAAGGAGCAGAGATGTGAAGTTCAGTCAAACCATCCCAGCAGACTCCGCACAGAAGGGAGCAGGTCCATCTGAGGCCTGTGAGCACAGCCAGGCCGGGCACCCTGCCGGGCAGCCGACTACGTGCACTGACAGACAGAGCCTCAGGGTGACCTGCTTATCAGCCCAGGCTCCAGTTCTCCTGTCCCTGCTTCCTGCCAGCGTTCCATGCCCATGCGAGCGAGGGCCTGTGCTCGGACTCCTGCCAGGACAGTGTGGACGCCAGGCCTGAGTGGGCGCTGATTAGCCTGGAGTGGTCGGTGGTTAGCCTGGAGCCTTGCACAAGCTTGTGCCAGCCAGGGCCCACCCAGAGGAGGCGTACGGTGCCCAGGGCCAAACCCGGTGGGCAGATCTGTTTCCTGGGCACCATGGCCTCTCCCGGTAGCCAGGCCTTTCTGTTCCATAGGTGAGAAGGACCTGAGTAGAGGGAGACTCCAGGGCAAGAACTTTGTCAGAGTTCAGTGAAGTTGGACGTGGCCTCAGGCTCTTGCTATGGTCCAGAGGGGTTTGGATGCACTACGTGTATTAGGGTCCAGCGCACACGCTTGTGTGTGTGTGTGTGTGTGTTAACTCCAGGGGCTTGTAGAGAGGCAACCTGGGGCGTTAGTAGGAAGGGTCTTGAGCTGGACTGCAATGGCCTCGCCCCAAGTCCTGGATGACCCACTCCCTGAGGACCTTCAGGTGGCCTGCTTGGTGGATCCTTGGCTCCCACTGCTAATCCACAGGCCCAGGGTGCTGGGGGCAAGGCCTGCAGGTGTAAAGGGCTTGACACGGGAGGCCTGGTCTTTTCTGCTGAGAGCAGAGATGCAAACGCAGAAGCCCAAAGATCAAGCTAAACCAGGAAGGGCACAAGGGAGCAGAGGAGCCCCTGGAAAGGACACAGATCTGGTCCAAAAACATCCCTGGGGGTGGACGTGCTGGTCAGCGTAGGCTGTGTCCTGCCGGGCATGCTGCATGCGACCCCAGCAGAGGAGTGTCCACCTGTGTCTGCTGGCGTCTCCTGAGGCTGTTCCTGCCCAGCCAGGCTGACCTGCTCATGAGCTTCAGACAGTGTTGAGCACACTGGGGGTGGGGTGGACCTGGGGGTGTGAGGGGAACAAGCAGCGGTCAGGCCTTGCCCTGTGTGTGCAGGCCCACAGTGCACAGCCATCATCACTGGCTCGTTGACCTTAAATTAACGCTGTGGCTGTGGTTTGGATGTTGCCCTCATCTTACAGAAGCATTAACAATAAATAAAACCTCTGAGTGCTTAGGAGGTGTTTACCATGCCTGGGGTGTAACTCCTCACAGGAGCCTGAGGAAGTAAGCCCCCAACTTGCAGGAGGGAACTGAGGCTGACGGAGCTTAAGTGATCTCCCTGGGGCTGGTTTTAAAGTCCTGTTTGTTTATTTAGGCACTAGGGATTGAACCCAGGGGGGACTGCCACTGAGCTACCATCCCCAGACCTTTACTTCTGAGGGCAAGGGTGGGGGCTGGGGGCTGGGACAGGTTTCACTGATTTGTCCAGGCTGGTCTTGAACTTGTGATGCCTCAGCCTCTCAAGTTGCTGGGATTACAGGTGTGTGCCACCCTTGCCTGGCTGGCTGGGGACTGAACCTAGGGCCCTGAGCATGTGAGGCAAGCACTCTACCAGCTGAGCGACAGCCCCAGACTGCCTGTTAACTGCCCCCACCCCAAAGCGGGGAGAGGGGGGGGGCTGGTGGTGCCGGGCGCTGCACGAAGCCACCCACCGCAGCCTCAGTGCTTTTCCCCTCAGGCAAATCCCCTGCCTTCCCTGACCCCTGTGCCGCCCCCCAGAGGACCTTAGCTCCCAGGCTCCCTTACTCTCCGGGTTCTAGGTGGGAACCAGTGGTAAGTTCCAGTGAAGCCCTGGAGAGAATGGCATGGGAGGGAAGCCCTGGTCTCTCTGCTTCTGCATCTGCCCCTTCGCCTGCCCACAGGCCCTCCCCTCAGGCAGCTGTCCCACCAGCCCTGCTCTGGCCCTATACCTGGACATCTCCTCCTGAGCCCCTTCCATCTGCCAAGTGCCTGCACTGGAGATGCGCCCTGAAGGCTGCCTTCCTGGGTGGACCTCGCACATCTCATGTGACAGAACAGCAATGCAGACTTGTGTAACTGTCAGGGCTGTGAACCCAAGGAAGGACGACCAGAGTCCCAAAACTGGGAAATTAAGAAAAAGGAGAGGATGTCCTTCCAGATGTCCTAACATACCTCAAAGCTCTGAAAGCAGTGTGGTGCCCCCAGAATCAATGGAAGGAATCACAGGATGGATATCACCCAGAAACTGCCTCGGGGTCGCAGGCTCTTCTGCTGCTAAGGGGCATCTCAAATAAACGGAGAAATGTGGCGAGAGGGGCTGAGTGACCTACAGATTGGGGAAAGACCCCAGAATAAATCCCAGATGGACTGAGGAGCTAAACCATGTGAAAGCGTTAGAAGTAACCCAAGGAAGCTGCTCGAAACAGACTAGGAAAGCGCTTTCCAGGGAACACTCAGAGCACCGCACCATGATGTACTGCAGCCGTGGCTGGCTTTGCTTGGGACTCCGGGGAACTCTGACGAGAGGAAGGAAGCGGCATGCCATTTCCTGGTAGCCTTCTTGTCCCTTGAGCCGGCAAACTGTACCTGTAGCCCTGGTCCCAGTTCCAGTGCTGGAAGGTGGAGACCTGCCTGCCCTCAGGTGGTCTTCCTTGAGCCTAAGGCTACAGTGGGGAGCAGGTGGAGGGCCAGGCAGGGACTCTGGACTGTGTCTAGGGAATGTTATCTGCTCCATGCCCGGGAGGCAAGGAGAAGAACAAAGAAGGCCGAGAACACAGGACTTTGCTGGAGGAGGCCACCCCGCAGGGCACCCAGAGGGCCCTGGCCTCCGAGCTGTTGTGGGTTAGTGTGAGCTTTTCCTCTTTCAGACTACTGCAGTGTAGACTGACTTGGGTTTCCTTCCTCCTGTGCTATCCTCTGGGTCCCTGGCCCATGTAAACAACTTTGCTTTTAGTTTTGAGTATTTTTTTTTTTAATTTTCTGAATTAGGGCTGGGGGTGTGGCTCAAGCGGTAGCGCGCTCGCCTGACATGCGCGAGGCGCTGGGTTCAATCCTCAGCACCACATACAAATAAAATAAAGATGTTGTGTCCACCGAAAACTAAAAAATAAATAAATATTTTTAAAAATTCCTGAATTAAAGTTTTTCTTTGTGTTTTTTAAAGTTTACAGTAAAAAGTGAAGTAAGTTCAAACACTGAAGTTTCTGGTCTAGTTTATTAGCCTTGTGGCTGTATTTAATGAAACTGTTCAAATAAATAAAAGGTAGTTTTGTTGGCAGAAAACTGGAAGTGAGTGCAGTAAGTAGATCTATACAAAAAATATCCAAGATGTTTTTAACAAAAGAACCCACTGTGGTGGCCCACGCCTGCAATCCCAGTGGCCATGGAGCTGAGGCTGGAGGATCACAATGCAGACACAGCAGGGCCTCAGGTGCAGGGTCTGGGCCACCCCCCTCACCAAACGCACCTTTCCCACATGATTCATCTGCCCTGGGGGGGCTCCCTCTACAAGTTCCAGGCCAGCCTTGGCAATTTAGCAAGGCCCTAAGCAACTCAGTGACCCTGTCTAGAAATAAAATATTTTTTAAAAAAGAGCTGGGGGACCAGTGCAGTGGCCCACGCCTGTAATCCCAGCAGCTCAGGAGGCTGAGGTAGGAGGATCGTGAGTTCAAAGCCAGCCTCAATAAAAGCAAGGGCTAAGCAACTCAGTGAGACTCCGTCTCTAAATAAAATACAAAATAGGACTGGGGAATGTGGTTCAGTGGTTGAGTGCCCCAAGTTCAATCCCAGGTACCCCTCCAAAAAAAGGGCTGGGGTGTGGCTCAGTGGTTAAGCACCCTGGGTTCAAACCCTGGTACCAATTTTTTTTAAAGTTCCAGAATGTATTTATAACATATTATACTATCTCCTTTGTGAGAAATAGGAAAATAAAAAGATTACACACGTATACAAGTGAATTAAAAGGCCCAGAGGGACCCCTGGGGAGTGGGTGATGGCAGAGACTCCAGGAAACATGCTGTCATGTGACCTTTTATTCCAATGAAAAGATGGAAGAAAACTAGTGAGACCTAGAATGTGCGTCTGAGTGGGGCTGCTCCTGACCCAGCTCTCCCGTCGTGGAGAGGATGTTACAGTCCCACCTATAGCACCAGGTAGAGCCCAGAGAACAGTGACCTAGAGCCGGAGGTGGGGACTCCAGGGCCTGGGCAGGTGGAGGGGAGGACAGGTTCTCCAGGAGGGGCAGGGCCAGCCATGTGCTGGGGGCGGGAGGCAGAGAGCAGGTGTGTGAGGCCCGAGAACGTGGGGCGTGGGGGCCAGTGCTCTGAGGAGAGGGGCTGGACTGTCCCGGTCCTTCTTGGAGGTCCGCGAGCTCAGAGGGTTGGCACAGAGCCGCTGGCGGGGATCGACTTCTTTGCTCAGGAGTCTGCAGTGGAGTGCTCCAGAGGACACACGTCACCCACCCACTTGATGCCCAAGTTCCCGGCTTATCCTGGGACCACACAATCCCACTGAGTCCAGAGATGAGCGGACTAGAGAGGGAAGGCAGTTTTGCTCAAAAAGACAGAGGAAAGCCGAGGACTCTGTCACAAAGCCTGCCTGTGGGAAGCTGAGTCAGGAGGGACTTATAAAGAGGGCGGGTGTGGATGCCCACTCACCAGGGACACCGTTCACAGCAGGCCCTGGGTGTGCCCAGCTCGAAGCAGGTAGGCTGCCCAGTCAGGAGCTGCTCTTCTGTCTGGTAAATCTCAGGACCAAAGACCCTGACCTCCTCAGCTGTTGGTATCACTGAGTTTGCCCATGTGCAGTCCCTGGCAAGCCAGCATGGTGAGCCGCTCTGGCCTCTCACTGATCACCAAACTCAGGGTGAGGGGAGAAAATGCTCGGTCTCAGTGCTGTGAAAGGCAAAGGTTGGGTGAGGGAGAGCAGGGAGCTGGGCACCAGATCTGGTCCCAACTCTTGGCTTCCCTTCGAAATGTTTTTTTCCAAATGATTACTATCTTTTAACCTTCCCTATATTTATCTTCTAAACAGTACATATTGATAGATATGACCCACATAAACAGAACTCTTCGGGGTCCTGGATAATTTTTAAGAGTGTAGTACAGGGGTCCAGACACCCAAAACCTTGAGATCCACTCACCTAGAGAAGAGTGGCAGTGGGTCAGAGGGGGCTGTGGCAGGCATCCCCTCTTCAGAGATGCCATGTCCCATTTTTATGGAGACACCACCTTTCTCCTTGCTGCTTACTGAACTGCAAGAAGAGAGAGACAAATCAAAGGAGACATTGTTAAATGAAAAAGAAGGCAGGACTTTTTGGTCTTAGTTTTAAAAATTCTGATGCTAAAATTAAGAACAGTTTCTGAGATAAATTTAATTCCATCAAAGGAATCAGTGTGCTGAATGTCCATTTGTTTTAGGCAGCTTTTTTGCTGCTGTGACCAAAAGACCTGATAAGAATAATTTAAAGGAGGCGCAGTTTCATAGATGTCTTTCCATAGACAGTCAACTCCATTGCTCTGGGCCCAACACGAGGCAGAATTTCATGGTGGAAGGGTGCGGTGGAGGAAAGCAGCTCAGAATGTGGAACCAGGAAGCCAAGAAAGAGTCAAAGGCCTGTTCCCCAGTGAGGCACCTCCTCCAGCCGCACCCTACCTGCCTACAGTGGATTAAGGTACTGAGTAGGTCAAGGCTCTCATAATCCAATCATTTAACCTGTAAGCCTTCCTGCATTGTCTCACACCTAACTCACGACAACATTATTATTATTATTTTTTCCAGTGTGGAGGACTAAACCTAGGGCCTCATGCATGCCAGACAAGTACTCTGAGCCCACATATCCAGCCCTGTGAGCCTTTTAAAACCCAAGACTAAGAATGGTACCTCAGAATATTATTATCATAATATAACAGTGTCCACTTCAGACTTTGAATGTGACCCTGCTGCTCTGCCACTGCAACTGGTTTTTAAATGGACGTGGTTCTTTCTCTTCCTCTCTCCTTGCTCCTCCCTAATCTCTCCCTGCTCCTCCCTAACCCCCCCCCCCCCCGCCTCCCCCCAATCTCAGAGGAAACAGGATCACCTTTCTGGCCCATTCTAGGCAGAGGTATCTGTCCCTGAGCACACACCCACCATAGGAAAGAAGTCATCCAGACTTTGGGGATGGCACCAGAAAGTCTCAGAAATGATCATCTCCCAAATTAACAAATGAATGACAACTCCAACAGAGAGCACAGGGAATGCAGCCTTTGAGTCACCTCTTTAACAGCCCCAGTTCCCGCTGATGGACAGGATCACAGCCTTTGGGACAGAAGTCCTCTGTGTTTCTCCTGTACTAGCAAAGCAATAAACCTTCTTTTTCCTTTTTCTCAAAAACTGTGTCCTGGTTATTAGATTGGCATCAAGGATAAGGACTGAGATTTTGGCAATAATAATATTATTTAGGCACAAAAAGGGCCCTTAAAAAAAATAACATCCTTCACAGATTCTCACAAACAAGGCCCCTGGGAAGCTTTGGGCATGTTCTTTGGGGATGTTGTGTGTTTGTGTGTTGTGTGTGTGTGTGTGTGTGGCACACGCACATGAATGGTTGAGCTTTTTCTCTGGAAGAGAGTAAAAGGGTTCACTAGGTTCTCAGTGCTGACCCACCAGAGGTCAAGCACAGGGCTGTGCAGGTGGCAGATGATTGACATGGGAGAACGTCCAGACACCAGGAGTGGCAGCTCCCACCGGGAAGCTGGCCTGGGATGACGTGGCTGTAGACATGATGTGGAGGTGCCATAAAGACGGTCAGACTGTGTGCCCATGGAGGGGTCTGCCTGGCCTTCGGGGCAGGGCCTGCGTGTCCACATGTCCTTTTCTTGCCCTTCTGCCTAGGCCTTGATTGGCAGCGTGGTGGACGGGATGGAAAGCCAGGCAGAGTTGTCACACAGAGAATAATGACAGGGAGGAAAGATCTTCACTGGTCGATTCCATACACTTATTTTCCTGAGTGTTTCCTGTCCTTGGTTGATTGGATGCAGGGTGAAATCCAAGAGCTAACTCTGCTTCAGGACCCTTCCTAGTGACACAGACATCTTATTTTTCCATGTTTCTTCTGGAGACTATGGAATAAGGGAATTGTGCCCAGGGCAGAGCTGGATGTAGTGAAGGGGCTGGAATCGGGGCCAGGCTTTCAGGCCAATAATCCAAGTAGTAAGGTAAGAAGGAAGAGAGCCAGGTGGCCTGTGGAAGCAGGAACCCCCATTTCCCCTGAGGAGAGGGAGCCTTAAAACCATATGATCTGTTTTAACAAAAATGCTTTTTATTGCTAATGAGCTTAGGAGATGCCTCCTAGTAATCCCTCCTAGCTTTCCAGGCCAGGTGTGAACTTCTCGCTTAATGTCCTGTGAGGCGCAGCAAGTTGAAACTCAACCACTCACCCAGCTCACCTCTGCTTTGTTTTAGGCTCTATAAATGAGCAAAGGGAGGCCTTTTGAAGGGTGTTGATCAACCTCTCCATAGCTGTTCACTTCAAGCCTTAGACTATCCGGGAGCTGGTAAGTCCAGCAGCTGTGAGTTTGGATTAGCCGTGACCTAGCAGCTGGTAAGTGATTTAGCATCTTCAGGCTTCTGGTCCTCACTTGTAGAGTGCAGAATTCATTCAGCAAATTCATTGTGAATGTTTACCACATTTCATGCTCTGTCCTAGGTGCCAGGGAGGCAAGGACACACAAGACAGACCTGTCCCCACGTTATGTTTTGCCTATATTTCAGTGGTTGGGAGTAATGGCTGTCCACTTGGACGTGTGTCCCTCACTAATAGGTGGGAAGGCAAGCTTCCCCCATGCTGGGGTCATGATCTCACCAGCCTGACCTAGCATTCATGCTAACTGGATCAGCTGTGCCTGACCCGTCTGTGGGTCCTGAGGCCCAGGAGTGTGGGGAGCTGGGCGTGAAGTTTGCCAAGTGTCTCTGAATCTTTACATGTCCCAATTGTTATCCAGAGAATGAGACCTGTTTTTCCATGTTGCTATGATTGATGTAGATGCTCATAATTAATACAGTAGAGATTCTTTTAAAGGAACTGGACAAGTATTACTAGCATTTTTTTTTTAATCACCTATATTCTCCATCACATCTTCCCCTGCTTGAGACTGAAGGGGAGCTCAGTGTCAGGACGTTCCTCCAGCAAGCAGGAGCCCTGAAGAAAAAATCTCATCCTGCCTCTTCCTGGATTAAAGCCTTTAACAGCTCCTCACTGGGCTCAGCTCAAAGTCCACTGCGGCTGACCTTTCCTGGCATTGTGCGTCACCTCCACCCCCGTCCATCCGCCCGCTGGAACATGGAGTCTCTTCTGGGCCATGGCTGAGCACCCCAGGGCTCAGCTCTTCTGGCACCCACAGACCTCGAGTGCCTGAGGGGGCAGAGTGCTCTGCCTGGCAGCCGTGCCAACCTGCTGAGAGGGGTGAGAGTCCTCCCCACCATCCCAGTGGGCCTCCCTGGGTCCAGCTTTCCTTGCCCAGGCCACCCTGGGCCTCCTTCCTCCTCTCCAGGCTGCTTGTCCAGGGCATCCATCCCCTTCCCCAATGCCCTCCAAACATCGGGGCCAGTTTCTGAACCAATGTCATTTTTCCTTTCAAGGGTTTAAAAAATAAACAGTCCTGGGCTGGGGATGTGGCTCAAGCAGTAGCGCGCTCGCCTGGCATGCGTGCAGCCTGGGTTCGATCCTCAGCACCACATACAATAAAGATGTTGTGTCCACTGAAAACTAAAAAAATAAATATTAAAAAAAAGTTCTCTCTCTCTCTTTAAAAATAAATAAAAAAACAAACAGTCCTAGAATTCACAGCACTGCTCCATACAGCACTGCTCCATGTTTCGGTGGACTGGCTTTCTTCATTGCTGTACAGAACCCAAAGTCCACAGAGCCCTCATGGCCAGAGCTTTCACGTGCTGTGCAGGTGAAGTATTCGGATGCCTGAGGAGAGTCCTAGAAAGATGGGGGAGGAGGAGATGTGATGCATATTTTGACTTCTCTTTCTACCCTTAGAATCTTCCACAGAATGAAAAAGAAAATTGAGAAACAAGTCCACCTTTTAAAAGGTGAGGGGAAAAGAACGACCCTTCCATTTATTTAAATTATTAACATTGTGCTAACCAAAGAATATGCTTGGGCTGGGGTGGAGCTCTGTGGTACAGTACTTGCCCAGAGTAAGAGGCCCTGGTGCAAGCCCTAGTGTGTGTGTGCGCGCGCGCACACACACACACACACACACACACACAGAGTGCTGAACATATATGGATAGTTTAACTAGTAACAAAAATGAATACATTACCTATTATCCAGCTTTGGAAAAAATGAACTTAATTAGTGCCTTAGGAGGCTCCCGTGGGGGCCTCCTCAGTAACCTGTGATAATCACTCTCTGGAATTCGAGCTAATCCTGCCCTCATTTTCCTCCAGAGCCCGCTCTTGGAGTGCATGTTCCCGTGCAATGTTTCTGGGGCAGTTCTGCATGCTGTATAAATGACATCACCGGGAACGTATTTTCGTGACTCACTTTTTCCACTCCTGTGTTTTAAGAGCTACCTGTGACTGTGGTGGCAATGGCTTTCTCTGATGAGCTGTGTTCCTTTATGTGAGCTTGCGACATGGTATCCACCCACCTCCTGGTGGCCAGGCTTGTGTGTCACCCGCTGTTGGCTGTGATGACGGTGCTGCCCGTTCCTGTACTGCCTCCTGTCCAAGGGGCAAGAAATCAGGGCATGCCTGAGCGGTTGTGGTGACAAGGCCCAGCTCAGCAAGGTGGCAATGCCAGACGGGCCTCCGTGGGGTATATGGGACTGTCCAGTCCCTGCTCCTGGCTGCAGTGGTGAGGGGTGCTGGGGGAGGCAGAGCCAAAGAACCAATCAGAAGGTGTTTTCTGGGCTGTGACCCCAATGACTGGTCACATCCTGAACACCAGGGGAATGACCCTTGATGGGAGAGAGTGCATTTGGTGATGGGAGTTTGAAAGAAAAGATCAGTTTAAACTGTGCTCTGTCCTGGGTCAGTGGCCTCATTTTATGGTCTAACTTTATTTATTTATCAATCTATCTATCTATCTATTTATTTATTTATTTATTGGTACTGGGGGTTGAACCCAGGGCCACCTCACTGAGCCACATCCCCAGCCCTTTTTATTTTTTATTTTTATTTTGAGACAAGGTCTCATTAACTTGCTTAGGGCCTCATTTAGTGGCTGAGGCTGGCTTTAAATTGGCGATCCTCCTGCCTTGGCCTCTCAGGTAGCTGGGACGAGAGACATGCGTCACAGTGCCTGGTTCTAATATGACAGTTTGCAACTTTGATTACTTCTTTAAGAGCGATTTCTAGAATTGCTGGGCCAGAGGGGACACATGTTCCTGCCTTTGCCAACTTCTCTCTCAGGACTGTGTCCTCTATCTGGGCCCCAGTCTCCCGCCTGGTGAAGGTCCCTGAGCGTGCCATCCTGCTGTCACCTCTCCTGTCCTTGCTCATCTTCCACTGCCACGGCAGCTCCCTGGGGTTGGAAGATCTGGCTTCAGGATGTCCCCCACCATGAGCCGGGGAGCTTGTCTTTCCCTGCAGCTGCCAGTCTCTGTGTGGAGTCCTGGGCTCTCTTGGGCTCTTTGCCACTTTAGTTGGTCTCATCTTCTAGGTGGACTGTGACGTGCTATTTAAAGATGTGCAAAGCTCATCAACATTCCGTGTGTGGATGCCTCTCCGTGCGTGCTCTTCTTGAGCCGGGAACACCTCCTGCTCCTCATTCCTGTTCCTGTCAAGGTCCAGCTCCGTGTCACTTCTCTATGACCCTCGAGACACGCGGCTGCCTTGTTCCTCCTCCCACCATCTTCGCCATATCTTTACGAACTGTTTTTTTCTGGTCGTTTCGTAGCCAGTTGATTAGCAACACCTTCCTAAAAGCCATGACTCCTGAGCAGAAGCACTGTGCCTTCTTTGCCTGGATAAGTCCCGGCCCCAGAAGAGCTTGTCATAGAAGGGCCAGCTGCCAAACTCCCCACTGTGCATCCCCTGCCTCAGATGGGAAGACTAGCAGCCTGGTGTCCCAGATTCCCTGGTAGCTAGGTGTGTCCTGCGGTTGAGCTCAGGATGTTGAAATGCAGGTGGGACTTCCTGGAAGTCTCTTAGGATGGAAGGGAGATCCCCCAGGCTGTCCTTCCTTCTGACTAGAATGCTGATGTGAGTGCAGGAGCTTGGAAAGCCACGGGACAGTCAGAGGCCCCACTCCTGGTCCCCCTCCTTCCAGACTTCTTTTACCCTCAAAGGACGCACAGCATGCTTAGCAGTTTATCTTTAGATAAACACAATGCTGCCAGGCTCAGTGCTTGCTGTGTCCATAGAGGGTGGAGTAGCCACAGAACCATGTGACTGCTGCCCCTGCTGACTCCCATCACCCTTGAACAAAAGCCAGGGCTTCCTTGAAGCATTTGCTTGAGTCTTGGTCGGTCTGTATATTTTTTATTGTTTTTAGAGCTTATTAATTTTATAAAATCGACTCCCAATTTGTCTAAGAAGCAATAAATTGTTTAAAAAAATCAACTTGCAATTTAAAGTGCAGATAATCAAGCGGAAAGCCTGAGGTTGGAGAGCGAGAATCACATCTAAAGACCAGAACTCGTGGCCCTCCCTGGGCCGCCCAGGTATAGCTCCCTCAGCTTCTGCTTGGGGACTCAGGCCCGCCTGCAGCCGCCTCCCCACCAAAGGAAGCTGGGTTTTGGTAAATGGGTGTGGTGGCAGATCTGGGTAGGAAGGCTGGGCCCTGAAGGGGAAGAAGGTCCTCTGCAATCCGAGAGTCTGCTGTCCAGAGAGGGCATGTGGCTGGCATCTGTCATTCTTTCCATCCCAAGCAACAGAAGACACCTCTGCAGAGCTTAAGTGAAAAGGGGGAGTTTGTTGGAAGGCTGCTGGTGTTGTCCCTGCGCCCAGGGAAGAGTTCTGGGCACGGTGTGCCGAGCCTTGTGTGGAGGGTGAGGACTGACCCTGCTCTGCCCCCATCATTGTCCCAGTGGGCTGAGTCCCTGGGGGACATGTCCTCTCACCCCAGGGACTGGCTGAGTTGTGCTCTCCTTTGCCTGGTCACCTGGATGCCTCTGGCTAGCTCACTCGGGCTCCCCACACTCCCCTGGCTCCCCACAGGGCGGGCTCCCCACACTCCCCGGGGCAGCGCAGACCTCTCCAGGAGGTTCAGGGCTGCTCCCCGGGGCAGGCATCGTGAAGAGTCCCCACCCCCCACCCCTACCTCGGCCTTCAGCCTGATCCCTTCTCATGGGCTGCTCTCTAAGCCTGTGACACAGGTGGCCTTGAGGGCTCAGTGGGCCATCTGAGACACACCTAGGAGTGGGGCACCAGGCATTCGCTGGTGCCCACTGGACACGCAGGGCTTGCCACTGGACTCACCGTTGAGTGCTCTGACTGGGCCAACGCAGTGGGAAGCCTCTGGTGTCACATTTACGCATCCCACTCCCCACCCCACATGGTCAGATTTCCTGGAAAAGTGTCTTCCTGGCTCTGCCCAAAGGGGACACCATCTGGCTGCCCGAGTCTGGCTGCTGAGTGGAGAAAGAGAAGTTATCGTCCTCTTAGCGTGAGAGTGGCCCTCCTGACACCCCCTGCTTCTGGCAGGATTCCTGAGCCCTCAGCTGTGACTCGTGTCTCCAGAGAGAACACCGGCCCTCCTTTCCCCACACAAGCCTGGTGTCTTTGGCCCGGGGTTAAGGAGGGGCAGCCACTCTCTAAAGGACTGTGGGGAGGGACCTGAGATCTAATTTCTCCTTCTCCTTCTCCTTCTCCTTCTCTCTCTCTCTCTCTCTCTCTCTCTCTCTCTCTCTCTCTCTCTCTACCCAGGACTGACACTCCACCACTGAGCTACACCCCAGCTGTTCTTTATTTTGAAACAAGGTCTTGCTAAGTTGCTGAGGCTGGCCTGGAACTTGTGACCGTCCTGCCCAGCCCCCAAGTTGCTGGGATCACAGGTGTGCACCACTGCACCTGGCTAACTGCTTCTTAAATAGACGTTTAATCCGTTTTTCTGCTTTTAGGCCCACTTAATTTTTATTGGTGCATTGTAATTATATAATTAGTGGGATTTGTTGTGACAGAGCCACACACGCACACCATGTGATCGGCCGTCTATTTCCTCACGCCTCCCTTCCCCTTCCCTGTCTCTTTCCTCTCCTCTGTTGACCTCTCTTTGATTTTCACGAGGCCCACCCCCATCTTTCTTTCCCCTTTTCCTCTCTAGCTTCCGCATATGGGAGGAAAGCATGTGACCCTTGACCTTCTGAGTCCGACTTACTTCACGTAAGGTAATTGTCTCCAGTTCCATCCCTTTTCCTGCAAACTGCATAATTTGTCTCTTCTTTATGATTAAGGCAACAGGTCCACCCTTAACCTACTTCAGGTGGGTCTGGAGCCTCTCACCCACACCTCTGTGGGGTCCTGGGATCTGAACGGGTCACTTCTTGGCCTCTCCCCACAGCTGCTGAGGCTGTTTCCCAGCCTTCTCACCTGCCCCTTGTCCCCAGCTGTGCTGGGACAGAACCCAAGGCCTGACGCATGTATGCACATGTTTTCCTTGTTCTTGTTCCTTTGCTCATTTATGGGTTGCATTTTGTTGTTGTTGTAGTTTTGTTTTTACTAATTACTTCTCATTTTAGTGGATCTCAGAGGGGAAATATGAATTGATTTCTGCTGTCTTTTTTTTTAATCTGTTTACATTTTATAAAAAGAAATACATTTGACTTTCTTGAACTTGGATCCAAAAACCCTGAGGAAGTGACCCCTTGTCTAATTTGAGTCAGGTGTCCCCCAGTGGATTTTGGCAAGGAGAATAGAGCTCTGTCCCAAGCAAGACCAAAGGTGCAGCCAGGCTTGGAGCCACGCTTAACGAGCACTGCGGCTCCTGTGGCCGGGGAGAGGGGAAGGGCAATCTCTAGAAGTGGATGTCTGGAGCTAGGGATGTGGTTCAGTGCTAGAGCACCTGCCTAGCATGCTGGACACCCCAGGTTCAATCATTAGCACCAAAAAGAAAAAGCAGTGGGTTTTGGGATAGATGGTCCCTTAGGATCTACTACAGCTAGAAATAGGAAGTTAAGATCTCAGGTTCTGATCCTAAGTCCAGGGCTCTTTCTGTTCTGCACATCTTACTGGTCAGTCACGAGGGCAGAGATGAGGGGGAGTCTCCTCAGTTTTTAGGCAGGAGCTGGATTGGATGTCCACAGAAGACTTCTGACTCTTGGTGCTACCGGATGGACAGTGAGGAGAAACAGCTTCTCTGTCGCTCTATGTACAATCCTATTTGGAAATAGCATCAAGAGTCTAAACTGAAGATGGGTGTGATGGCACACACCTCTAATCCCGGTGACTTGAGAGGCTGAGGCAGGAGGATTGCAAGTTCAAAGCCAACCTCAGCAACTTAGCGAAGCCCTCTTTCTAAATTAAATACAAAAATGTGCTGGGAATGTGGCTCAGTGGTAAAACACCCCTGGGTCTAATTCCCAGTAGGAAAGAAAAAAAAAAGTCTAAAGTGAGACCTGTGAGACCCAAGCCCCTTGCCTTCCTGCTGGCATCCTGTCCCACTTCCATTGTGGGCCCTGTGGGGTGAAGGGCCTGCTGGAGAATCTGGTCAGCCACCCTACCCAGGAATCTGTTTTGGCTGCAGGATGCACAGAGATGCTCCCTGTGGTCTGGCCCCTGGCCTTCTCTTTTCTGTCTGCACAGGATCCGTGATCACGTCTGCATGGATGTCTCTCAACCCTCCATCCTGCCCACCTCCACAACAATCTCAGTCCTACTGCCTGGGGACAGTTCCACTCTATTGTCCGACAGAAGTCAGCCCCAAAGCTCAGTGCTCCAAAATGATCTCATCCCTCTTTCACCTCCTGGGCTTGAAGCCTGGGAATGATTTCAACTCTACATTCCCTTGGCTCAGGCACCCAGCCAGTCAGGGGCACCCCCCCTGGATCCGGCAGGAGGTGGCCGTAGGCATCAGTCTAACAGATCAAGCCGAGCAAGCCCACCAGGAGCAGGCTGCTGTTGGCACAGAAGTTCACAAACCTCAGAACCAGCCTGTGTTGTAGGCCCCCAGGAGGGTACGGGGAAACAGGATCAAGGCCGCACGAGATTCCTGGGCCCCAGTGGGTCTCAGGCACGAGAGAGCAGGGTAGGAAGCCGAGGGCCAGAGCAGGCCCAGGGGCTGGGCTGGTGGGCGCTTGAAGAACAGAGTGTGGGCCTCTGATTGGCTTCTGGGGATAAAGCTTGATTTCTGAAGCTAGGTGTGGTTACAAGTGCATGCCTGTAATCCCAGCAATTTGGGAGACTGCTGCAGGAGGATCACAAGGTCAAGGCCAGCCTTAGCAACAGCATAAAACCTTTGAGCAACTCAGTGAGACCCCTTACCAAAATAACAAATGAAATGGGCTGGGATGTAGATCCAGGGTAAAGTACCCCTGGGTTCAATTCTCAGTACCAAAAACAAACAAGAAAGCCAACTTGCTGAGGGTGGAGTAGCTGTCCGTGAGGAGGCCAGGCCTGTGTCTTCACCTGCCTACCAGGTATCAGACCTCTCCATTCCCCCAGAGCCTCTGGGGAGAGCGGCTGGCAGTCCCGCCCCGGGCCAGGTAGTGCACCTGACATTTGTTCCACTTTGGATTTTGTTTATTTTCAGACTCCTTTGACCCCATGGTGATCCTGAGAAATGGTCAGAGCCCTGTTTGAGAAAACTGGACCAAGAGAGGTTAAACTGACCACCCGGTCACCCACACATTACTCAAACTATGGTCCATCTGTGTCCCCAAGAGCTGGCTAGAAACCCAGATCTCCAGCCCATCCCTGGCCCTGGAACCAGAGTTTACATCTCAACGAGGGCTGGAAGAGCGGTGGGAACGTCCCGGCTGGCCCGGGTAGGAGTCTGTGTTGTGGACTGACAGGGCTGCGCCCGCCTTGGTCAGCAAGTCTAACATGAACATCACGGTCACCTGCAGCTATGAGTGGAGCTGTTGGTGGGGAGTGGAGCTATTGGTGGGGAGTGGAGCTGAGAGAGCCGGGACCAGGCCGGGGAGTGGGAAAGGGAACTAGGTCAAGTGGCAACTGTGAAGCTGCGCCCTGTGGCAACTGCGGTGGCACCTGGCATTGGGTGCCCTGGAGCTGATGACATGGCTGGGGGACACAATCAGGGAGGTGCTGGGCCAGTCCAGGTCCAGGTGAGGCGGGACTCACCCCAGGGCTGACCTTGAGAGTGTCAAGGTGGAGGGCGAGGCTGCTGCCCTGGCCAGTTCCCACCTGGCCTGAGCCCCAGCTTGGCCCCCTCCCTGCTGCCTGGGTTTCTATGGTTACTGGTTACATGGTCTTAGGAACTTACCCAGGCTCCTCAAGCTCCCTCGCTGGTCAGCGTTTATTCCTGCTGAGCTGCAAGCTGGATGGGGCCGTGAGCAGTCCCATAGCTCTCCACCACATGGACTTCCACTTCTAGAAGGAGAGGCAGCTAATTCACAACCAAGAAATGTGTGGTATTTCATTTTATTTATTTTAACTGACATGCAATGGTTATACACACTTGTGGGGTACAGTGTGTTTCCACACGTCTGCAGTATGTAATGTGCAGATTGGGTCATGGTATTTTCGTCTCCTTTGTTCTTGCTATTTAAAAATATATAATAAATCATTGTTAACTACAGTCACCCAATTGTGCTATAAAACACTAGAAAGTATTCTTCCTAACCATCTTTGCATATCCAAGATTGTGTGTGTGTGTGTGTGTGTGTGTGTCTCACTGGGGATTGAACCCAGGGGTGCTTTACCACTGAGTTACACTCAGCTCTTTTGACTTTTTATTTTGAGACACGGGCTCAGTAAGTTGCCCAGGCTGGCCATGAAGTTGCAATCCTCCTGCCTCAGTCTCCCATAAGACATTTTATTTTTATATGTGTGTACACATACATGAGCATACACATTCATGTTTACATACATACACACACATATATGATGTGTCAGATGGTAACTAAATGGTATCAAAAGCCAAGCACAACGCTGCATATCTGTAATCCTACTGACTCGGGAGGCTGAGGCAGGAGGATCACAAGTTCAACCCTAGCCTCAGCAGCTTAGCAAAACCCTATCTCAAAATGAAAAATAAAAAGAGCTGGTGCTGTAACTCAGGGGGAGAGCATCTCTGGACTCAATTTCCCAGTACCACAGAAATGAAAGAAAGAAAGGGAAGGAAAGCAGGAAGGTAAGTAGGTTGGGCTGGGGTGTGGCTCAGTGGGAGAGCACTTGCCTAGTACGCACGCGGCCCTGGTTCAATCTCCAGCACCGCAACAAACAAACGAAAACTGCACCCCGGAAGGAGAAATCTAGAAGGTGGCATGTGGGAAGATTGTCATCTTAAGGCAGTCTGGGGACACCTCAATGAAGAGGTGACATTTAAGCAGAGATCAGAGGGAAGAGACTCTCAGGCCAAAAGGACAGCATGCAAGGGCCAGAAGGCAGGGGTGGGCTCACAGAGTCTGAGCAGCAAGGAGAAGCCCAGGTGGCAGGAGCCACAGGAGGGGAGCAGGAGAGGAGGCCAGGGAGGTGAAGGGAGATAGCTTGTGACCAGGATAGACACATGGGGTGACCGTGGACATACAGAATAAATGAATAACAAATCTGCTGATATTTGAGTGTATTTTGAGTAAAAGCACTTTGCCATGCAGGGCGGCACCTGCCTGTAATCCCCAGCTCCAGACATTCACTTCTAGAGATGGCCCTTTCCCTCTCCCTGACCATAGGAGCCACCATGCCTGTTAAGCGTGGCTCCAAGCCTGGCTGCACCTTTGATCTTGCTTGGGACAGAGCTCTACTCCTCTTGCCGAAATCCACTGGGGGACACCTAACTCAAATTGGACAAGGGGTCACTTCCTCAGGATTTTTGGATCCAAGTTCAAGAAAGTCAAATGTATTTCTTTTCATAAAATGTAAACAGATTTAAAAAAAAAGACAGTAGAAATCAATTCATATTTCCCCTCTGAGATCCACTAAAATGAGAAGTAATTAGTAAAAACAAAACTACAACAATGCATGGCGCAATGGCGCATGCCTGTGATCCCAGCAGCTTGAGAGGATCACAAATTCTACACCAGCCTGAGCAACTTAGTCAAATCCTGTTAAAAAAACAAAAAAGAAAAACATGCTGGGGTGTAACTCAGTGGTAAAGTGTCCCTGTGTTCCCATCTTCAAAAAAAAAAGAAAAGAAAAGTAAACAAACCAGACACAACACTTCAAGGAAAAGCCCTGTTCTGAGTGACATTTGCTGAGCCAGGCAAGGCTGCAGGTGGAGCAGGTTCAGGAGACATGGGATTTGATTTTGGATGGCATGTTGGCCAGGCCTGTGAGATGTCCAGGTGCAGGTGCTGAATAGGAAGCTGGGCGTCCAAGGCAGAGCTCCAGGCCAGGCCAGGGATGGAGCTATTTTCTTGGGAGTGGTCAGCACAGAGAGATGGGTCTTACAGCTGTGGATCTGGAAAAGGCCATCTGGGCATGAGCAGGAACTCAGTCCTGCAGGGACAGTCTGAGGTTCTGCAAGGTTTTGATCTCAGGAAGGTGAGCAACAAGAAAACTCTATGAAGAAGGAGGGCCGAAGGCCAGGTTGGGGAGTTCAGTATGCCTGAAGCCTGTGGCTGTTGCTAGTCTTCCTGACAGACTGGATCCAGGCCGCAGGAGGACGATTCTGTTAACACCCGTCAACAGCCACTCCAGATAAATGGAGTCACTACTGCTTTATGAAGGAGAGGCTGCCATTTTTAATGACCAGTAGCTGATCAGTTGAATGCAGAAGTCACCCCTGTCCCCCAAGCAGTTTTGTCTTGATTTCACACAGCCACCTGTGGTGGAAGTCAGGAGGCAGCAGGGCAGTGGGTGGTGGGGAGCAGGGCTTGGTGGGAGAGGTAGGGCAGAATTCCCAGAATTCAACAGAGCTGCCATATCTGGGGAGCCTGTGAAGGTCAGGTGAGATCTGGGCCCATCAGGAGATGAAGCTGTGGCAGATGAAGCAGGATGGGCAGCCAGGTGTTGAGCAGGTGAATTTTTTCCTGAGTGCACAGTTTTTTTGGTGGAGAACCCAGGTAGAGCTTGCACGTTTCTGCTCTGTCTCCCATGACAGGTGTGCTCAGGAACCTCTCGCTTCCAGCCCCCTGACTTCTGCCTGCTCTCTCCAGAAGCACAGCTTGCCGAGCCGCTCAAGTCAGCAGCCCTCCCTCTGATTCATGAGCCTCTCTCCCAGAGTCCCTTGCCACTCTGAAGGCCCCACACAGACCAGCCATGACCACTGCGTCCTGGTCCCCAAAGTCAGTGAGAAGTCTCCTCCTGGTCCCCAGGCATCGCCAGTCAGGCACAGCTCACAGCCTCCGAAGACCCTGTCCCTACTCATGGTTTTCCTTGTGCCTAACCCTCCTGGGCACTGTGACTTTTAGAGAGAGACCTGCTTTGTTAGCCTCTATAGCAAAGATGGAACAGGAGGCCAGATGAGGCCTCACAGAGGTGGGTGAGGGTGAGGGGGGCGGGGTAGAGGAGCCACACACCTGCGTTTCTTGGAGGTAGTCTCTTTTTGCCACCCAGTTGTAATTTGCAACACTTGAGTTCACGGACAAGGAACATAATGTCTCTCCAGAGGATGATCCCACCCCGGGAGCTGGCCCACAGCCTTGGACTTCTGAACAGGAACTTGAACTGAGCCAAGTGTGCAGAACAGAACTAATGAGGATCGGAGCCTTTGGGTCAGTGAGTTTGGTGGTTAGGGACGCAGGTGCATCCAGCTAGAAGCCTCAGGGCTGGGAGGTGCCCTTGGCAGGACAAGACCCTCTCTCCATCTCCCTCAATTCAGCCAGCATCACTGGGCCTCAGAGGCTGCCAGCTCACGGGGAATGGGGGCATAGAAGAGTCCTTGAACCTGTCCTTGAGATGTCCATAGATGAGTTGTGGTGAGATAGTCTAGAACTTAGGGGGTGTGGTATGGGAACACTGCAGGTGCCCAGTGTGTGGCCTTGAGTCTCTTGATTCCTTAACTTATCTAAGAAACGAGGGCAATGCCACCTGTCTTCACTTGTGCCTGGGTGTCCAGTGGAGCAATGGGGGGGAGGGAAAAGGGACAGAGAACTGGACCGTGGACCCATAGTGGAAGAATTGACCTCTGCTTGTTTCTGGTACATTCTCAAGGAATGTCAAAGCAAAGGAGTTTGTCCTCCTTCACCCCAGGCTTCCTATTAAGCAGGCTATGGTCCAGCCGTAGCGGTGGGCCCAAATACCGAGTGATTGATTAAGCCCACGTCTGGGGAGGCACCACAGACTAGCAGCTGGGGGCCCCTGGGGAGGGAACGGGGCAGCTGAGTGATAGGTGTGGGCGAGACCCGCTGTTCTGTGTCACACTCCTTTGTACTTTTAGACTGTGATACCATGTGGCTTGAACCTCTCACAGCAGCAAAAGTGAGTCAGTGCTTCAGGGATGGTTCAAGCTCGGGGCAGAGCCAGAGAGGGGCTTTCTTCTTTAGATGCCCTTCCTCGGACCCTGAGGGGCTGGGAGAGCAGAAGAAAGGGCTTGGAGGACCCTGCAGGCCGGCCCTGGGGCTGGGCATCTCATCTCTGACTTTCCAGAGCCTCCTGCTCCCCCACGGGCCTGCCTGCCAGGCTGCCAGCTGGAGTTGGAGAGGGGCGGGTGCCGTGGGCACAAGTGCCGTGGGCATAGGTGCTGTGTGCTCACCTGCTCACACTGTGCTCACCTCCAGACACTGGAGCTCATCAGTCTCAGAATTCGCTTCAGCTGCCACAGCTGCTGGGGAAGTGGGTGTGGGGGTCAGCAAGGGGACTGGACGTGGCTGAGGAGAAAAGGCAGGGGCCAGAAAGAACTGCCCAGATTAGGGAGGCCTCGCCTAGCCCCAGTGTCAGCAGGGAGGCCGGCCATAGCCATGGCTAGTCCTGCTGCCAGCCCTGGCTCCCAGGCAGCAGCTCCAACCAGGCCAGTGCTAGCCTGCACTCAGAGTGACCGAGGAGCCTGTGTGAGTGGGCAGCTCCTGTGTTCCTCGTGTGCTCCCTGAAATCTCCGGTCCCTCCCCCTACCCAATCCACATTCTGGTCTCCCAGACGCCTCCACTTGCTGCCCGCTGCTGCTCCTCGTGAGAAGCCACCCTTTCTGCCTCATGGGGCTATCCAGCGACAAGCCTGCGCAGAGCCCACCTCCCGCCCATGTGTGGTGTGCTGGTGGGCAAGACTGAGCCGCATGCAGCTGTGGTGAGATCTGTGGGCAGGACCCCGCTCTGCCACTGCAGCCCCCTGGGCCTTGGTTTCTTTCTTTTTTTTTTTTAAAGAATTTTAATATTTATTTTTTAGTTTTCGGCGGACACAACATCATTGTTTGTATGTGGTGCTGAGGATCAAACCTGGGCCGCTCGCATGCCAGGTGAGCGCGCTACCGCTTGAGCCACATCCCAGCCCATGGGCCTTGGTTTCTGCCTAGGCCTTGGCCTCACCAAGGCAATCCTCAAAGCCCAGGATCCCTAAGACCACTTTGTAAGCAGAGATGGTGGGAGGTATTCTGAGCTTAGTCAGCAACACAGAGCGAGTCCTGTTCTGAGATGGCAGCACCCAAGGGTCCTTGATTGTGGTGGGCCAGTAGTGCCTACCTGGGCAGTGGATGAAGGCCTCTTTTCAGTGGAAAGGTAGAGGGAAGTGGGGAATGTCCCAGGGGAAAAGAAAATGGCTGGCATGGGCAGGACTTGAGGGGTTAGGGCCTCCATTTCTTCTGCTCTAGGCTGCATGTGGGGTCGACTCAGAAACAATTCATGCTCAAGGAGGGAGGGCCTGCTTCCGGAGGGAATGGGTATAGAGGGGGCGTGAATGGCTGTTTGTGAGAGCAGGCAGGGTGCAAGGGGCTTCTAGTGCCAGGGACAGGCTGAGCTCACCCATCCAGGCCTTGCATCAGCTGTAGGGCTGGCTGCCAGGCCCTGGGAATGAGGCGGGCAGCTCCCAGGAGCCTGCTGGTCTTGCCTCATGCAGTCAGGGAGAGCACAGCAAGGGAGCAGCCACTTCAGGGACTCCTCAGCCCCTCCATTTCCAGGTCACTCAAGTACCCAGGCAGCAAGCAACATGTGTAGTGAAGGGCAGACAAGGGGAGGGCCTGAGAGGACCCAGCCTGCTAAGGTCTCTGCAGGACATCCTCTTAAAACTGGCTGCTGTCTCCTCCTCGGTGGATGGGAACTTGGGGTCTGGTCTCTCTCTGGCCCATGAGCTCACCACTTTAAAAAAGTGACCCTCCACCGTGATGGAGCATGGTGGCACATGCCTATGATCTCAGCAACTCAGGAGGCTGAGGCAGGAGGATTGCAAGTTCAAGGCCAGCCTGGGCAACTTAGCAAGACCCTGTCTCAAAATAAAAATAAAAAGGGCTGGGGATGCAACTCAGTGGTAGAGCACCCCTGGGTTCAATCACCAGTACCAAAAATAAAATGATAACTAAAGGTGACCCTCCACCATAGCTCCAGGTGCTAGAGAGGCAGGAGCCATATGAGAGGCACCATCATGGCCTTGACTTATTTCTGTTGCAGCTCAGGGCTGACTGTGACAGGAGGCTCACAGGAGGGAAGCCTGGTCCTCTGGCCCTCTGAGACTGTCACCCCTGCCTTGTGCCTCCTCTGTCTCTGGATCCTCTCGGAGTACAAAAGTGCCTGTGTGTGTGTGTGTGTGTGTGTGTAAGACCGTCTGGGCTACCCACTGTCTCTTCTAGGTCTCCACTGGGGACCTTCTGGAGCCAAGATGGGCAAGGCCAGCCCTCACAGCCCCACTGCACTCAGGGGCCTGCATCCTGCTCCAGGGCCATGGGGCTGCTTCTAGGATGTCCTCAGACAGGGCTGAGGATTGTGAGCGAAGGAAAAGAGCCCCAAGAAGAGGCTGGGCAGGCAGCAGGCCAGAAGCAGGAACACCAGGCTCCTGGGGACTGGGGTCTTGGTTCTGAGTCAGTCTTTGCTCAGCACTTCTGGCCTCCCTTGGCCCTAGTTTCCAGGTCTCTCCCCCTCGATTCCTTCTGGAGGAAAAATGTGCATACCTCTCTCTTCCATTCAGACTCCCCTCCCCTCCTGGGCCTTAATTTCTTCGTCTCAACCCGAGGAGCCAGGGCAAGGCAGTGAGGAGCGCCCTGGAGTGGGTCCTCTCATTGTTGGAAGAATGTCCGCTCCTATGAGCCCTCTCCTCGCCTAGTCATTGGGGGCCTTGGACTGTGTGGTGGCTTCCGCTTGTCTCTGATCTGCCCTCCTGACCTCCAGGCCTGTGGGGGGGCAGGGCCTGCCTTTTACACCTCTGGCTTATCAATTAGTCCAGAACAACGTGCGGAGGGGGCACTTCTCCCCACAGGGCACCCAGGAGGGCAAACTGGTGGGCTGAGCAGCAAGGGGCTGGGGCTTAAGGAGCAGAGGGGGCACCTCAGTGCAGACATGCAGCCTAGCTCAGGCCATGCTCTCTTCCGCCCTCAAGCGCCCTAGTCACAGAGGGACCCCACTTCCTGAACTGCTGTCCTCTCCCGCCGGGAGGCCGCAGCCTCGCTCCTTGAAAGGCGCCCCCTGACACCCTGACCTCAGTTTCTCCGGCCTTGGAAGTCAGACAGATTCAGAGCTCAGCAACAACAGGTCCGAGTCCTGTGTCCTCACAGGGGGCAGCCCCTCCAGGGCTGCGGACCCTGCAAAACCGCCGGGAGAGGGGGGACGCAGGGTCTGGCTGTACCGAGGCCCAACCGAAGGGGCCAATGTCCCAAGGTGGACAGACCCGCGGGTGGTCGCGCCACCAGCCCGGCCTCGTACTGGCGCCCCGCCAGAACCTGCGGGCCCGCGGTAACGTCGCCGCCGACCGAGTCGGGGCGCCGTGCGGGAGAGGCTGGGGTGGCGGGCCGTGGCCCCCGCGCGGTCAGAGCCCTGCCACAGCCCTCCGCCCGTCGTGCGCGCGAGCAGTCAAGGCGGAGAGTCAGGGCGCCTCGCGGTCGCAACTCGGGGGCATCGGCGGGTCCTCCCTCCGCGCCTGCCCGGCCTCCTCGCCCTGCGGCTCGCTGCGGCCCAGGCCCTAGCTGTCCGAGGCCAGCGGAGGGCGGGGACGCGGCGCGTGCGGAGGGCCGCGGGCACGGCCGCGGGGGCGCGCTCCGCAGGGCCGCGCTTTGTTCTGCGGAGCTCGCGAGGCGCGCGCAGGGGCGGTCGCGGCACTTCCGCACGGGGAGTCCCGGGCGGCGCGCCAGGGCCCGGAGCCCCGCCCCCGTCCCCGTCCCGCCTGTCCATCAGAGCCGAGCTGTCCGGGCTCCCCGCGCTGGTCCCCGGGGACACGCGGTGGTTAATGAACTCCACTCTCTGCTTGACAGGCAGCCCTCAGTCTCCTTCCCTTCCTCACCCCGCAGCCACAGCAAAACAAAACGAAAATACAACCGGCCTGACCTTGCTCTTCCCTGGCACTGCCCATTTAAGGCCAAAAGCCCCATGCAGTAGAGACCTGGCTGTCCCTTGCTGATGTAGCCTAGCCCACCGCACCTCTGCCCATCCCGTCCAGTCTGTCCTGTGACACTCAGGGACCATGGAGCCTCTTGGGCACCATCTCAGTGTCTCTTAGCAGGTTCCAGAATTAATTCGACAAGCTGGTTGTGTCAGATTACACACCAGTAACCCCAGGGACAGAGGCAGAGGCAGGAGGATCCGAAGTTCAAGGCCAGCTTGGATTTAGCAAGACCTTGCTTCTAAATAAAAAATAAAAAGGGCCAGGTATGAAATGAAATTAAACCCCTATCTCTCACAGTGCACAAAAATCAACTCAAAGTGGATCAAACACAGGCACTAGAACAAAGACCCTGCACCTAATATAACAAAAAAGTAGGCCCGAATCTTCATCATGTCAGCCTAGGATCTGACTTCCTTAATAAGACTCCTAAACCACAAGAAGTAAAATCAAGACTCAATAAATGGGATGGATTCAAATTAAAAAGCTTCTTCTCAGCAAATGAAACAATAATGTGGGGAGAGAGCCTACAGATTGGGAGAAAATCTTTACCACATGCCCCTCCGAAAAAGCATTAATCTCTAGGATATATAAAGAACTCAAAAAAATACCAAATAAACCAGTCAATAAATGGGCTGAGGAATTGAACAGACACTTCATAGAAGAAATACAATCGACCAACAAATATATGAAAAAGTGTTCAACGTGCCTAGCAATTACAGAAATGCAAATCAAAACTACACTAAAATTTCATATCACTCCAGTCAGAAGGGCAGCTATTAAGAATACAAACAACAATAAGTATGGGAGAGGATGTGGGCAAAAGGCACACTCGTACACTGCTGGTGGGACTGCAAAATGGTGCAGCCACTATGGAAAGCAGTATGGAGATTCCTTGGAAAACTTGGAATGGAACCACCATTTGACCCAGCTGTCCCACTCCTTGGTTTATATCCAAAGGACTTAAAAACAGCATTCTAGAGAAATGCAGCCATGCCAATGTTTATAGCAGCTCAATTCACAATAGTTAAACTGTGGAACCAACCTAGATGCCCATCAGCAGATAGATGAATGGATAAAGAAAATGTGGCATATACACACAATGGAATATTACTCAACAATAAAAGAGAATAAAATCATGGCATTTGCAGGTAAATGGATGGAGTTGGAGAATATAATGTTAAGTGAAGTTAGCCAATCCCAAAAAACCAAATGCCGAATGTTTTCTCTTATATAAGGAGGCCAATTCGTAGTTGGGTTGGGAGGGGGAGCATGGGAAGATTAGACAAACTCTAGCTAGGGCAGAGGGGTGGGAAGGGAAGGGAGGGGGCAAGGGATGTAAAATCCACGATGAAATGAGGTGGACACCATTACCCTAAGTACATGTATGAAGACACAAATGGTGTAAATATACTTTGTATACAACCAGAGATATGAAAAATTATGCTCTATATGTGTAATATGAATGGTAATGCATTCTACAGCCATATATAACAAATTAGAATAAAAAAAAATAAAAAAAACCCTACACTAATATTCCATCTCACTCCAGTCAGAATGGCAATCAAGAATACCATCAACAATAAATGTTGGTGAGGATGTAGGTAAAAAAAGTACACTCATACATTGCTAGTGGGACTGCAAATTGGTATAACTACTATGGAAAGCAGTAGGGTGATTCCTTAGAAATCTTGGAATGGAACCACCATTTGACCCAGCTGTCCCACTCCTCAGTTTATACCCAAAATCAGCATACTACATTAATTCAGCCAAGCCAATGTTTATAGCAGCTCAATTCACAATAGCTAAATTATGGAACCAACCTAGGTGTCTTTCAATAGATGAATGGATAAAGAAAATGTGGTATATATATAAAATGGAATATTACTCAGATTTAAAGAAGAATGAAATTATGGCATTTGCCAGTAAATGGGTGGAGTTGGAGAATATCATGCTAAGTGAAATAAGTCAATCCCAAAAAACCAAAGACCAAATGTTTTCTTTAATGTTAATTCACAATAAGGGGTGGGGCACTAGAGAAGAATAGCGTTACCTTAGATTAGGTGGAAGGAAGTGATGGGAGGGGATGTGGGGATAGGAAGGATAGTAGAAAGAAAAGACATTATTGCTTTATGTATATATGTGACAGCATGACCATTGTGATTCTGCAACATGTACATTCAGAAAATTTCTCATTTTGTATATATTAAACATTATATAGATATATATAAATTCTCATTTCACATATTATATTGCATCTATGTATATCAAAGTGCATAAATGCATTCTACTGTCATGTATAACTAATTAAAACAAATTTTTTACAAAAGCCAGGTATGTAGCTCAGTGGTAGAGTGCCCCTGGGTTCAATCCCCAGTACAAAATAATTCATCCAGCAAATGTTTATTGAGAGGGTACTAAGTGCAGGGTGACCTAGGCCCTTCACAAAGGTGCTATGTCCCCAAGAGAATGTGAGGGGATTCCTTTTGCTGTCCCAGCAGTGCTGTGAGGTGGCTCACAGCTTCCTTGTGGCTCAGCTTCCCTGAGGAGGTCACCCTCTTGGAGCCACCATGCTGCCTCCCCCTAGGACACCTCAAGTGGCCTAGTTCACAGGGCAGATGCTGCCATGCTTGCCCTGGATGTGCTGCAGGGAGGGATGGTGGCAGCCTCTTCCTCCCTCTAGCCAACCTTTGTCAGTGCCTCTTATCTGTGTCCTGCAGGGACCATATGTTGGAGACGGGGAAGAGACCCGAAGGCATCTTGGGTGGTGGGGGTCTAGGGGAACACTGTGGGCCGGGGAGGTGAGTATGTGTATGATCCACTGTAGACTTAGGGCTTGGTGGGGAACAGCAGGCAGGTGAGCTCCCGGCCACCGCTGTGTCTGTCCACCAGAGGCAGCGGGTGCTTTGCATAGTGCTGGACCATGGCCACCACAGAGGGGAAGAGCTGCGGAGGGAGGCAGGGCGTCCATGAGTCCCTGAGCTCTGTGCTGCCAGCAGCTTCTTGAGGCAGCTGTGGCCGCCCAGGGGGCATGTTGACACCTCTCCAGGTATTTTTCCTTCCCGTGTGGCGCCTGAAGCTCCACTGTCATTTTGCAGCCCAGTCCCGACAAGCCTCTGTGACTTCCCTGTGCCTGCACCCATGGGCTCCCAGTGGCCAGACTAAGAGAAACCACTGGCGGCCTGCCTCTGCCTGGTCCTTGGTATGGGGAGCCCAGCGGTGGGTAGCTGCCTCTGGTCTGCACCCTGCAAACACTGGGTGCAAAGTTGCATCCTGGGAGCAAGTTGGCATGGGTCAGCTCCTGGGACTCTGCCCTCTGCCCACAGGACTCAGGACAGGCACAAAGCCCCACACTGTGCAGACTGAGTCCCAGCAAGAGGGGCAGGCCTCTTCCCAAAGTGCCAGGCATCTCTGAGGAAGGTTGGACTTGGGCTGCTGTCATTTTTACCCACCCCAGGAAAATGTGAATTGTGGGTTCCCCTGGCACGTGCTCTTGGCTAGGCCTCGGCGGGCACTGTGCTCTGTCCCCTGGCCCAGACGCCCTGCCTCCTCCAGCTCACCTCCTCATGGCTCTTGCCCTCCCGGCCCAGAGCGTAGTGGCCCCCGCCCTCCAGCTGCCGGATGGGAATGTTGAACACCCGGCCTCGGAGGAGCACCGCCAGTGTGAGAGGCTGAGAGCGGTGAGGCCCGGAGCTGGGGCGCACTGTGTAGGCCCCGTCCTGTGGAGAGAATTCAGCCATGGGCCTTGTCTTCAACTGCCCACCACAGCCCTAACTCAGGAGGGCCAGAACCATCAGGTCTCCTGCTCCTGTCTGCTCAGCCAGCCACAGCCTGTGAGCAGAAGGGATTTTGGAGAAGGCCAGGGACCTGCAGCTGCCCACCTTTTGGAAGCGAAGCAGGGCCCTCTCAACAGCAAGCCGGTCACAGTTCCCTGCATACCATGGCTGGCCCAGCAGGCTGCCATCCTGCATGCACACACACAGCCACTCAGAGATGTGTGGGCACTGGATGGCATGGGGGGTGCAGAGGATGCTGGGGCTGACATGTCTCAGCCCCAGACTGAGCCCCACATGCAGAGCCAAGCGCCAGTGCCTGCTGCACAGCTGGGCACCACACACATGCTCAATACTGTCCCACCCAGAGGGCGCTGCACACATGTGCTCAGTGAGTGATCTTGGTGGAGCAGCTACCTTGCCCAGGAGGGCTCCAGGAGAGGTCTGCTCCCTGCTGGCCTCCACCCCAGTCAGCTGCCAGCCCCTCTCACCTGGGCAGCGGAGGTGCTCCTGGGGGGCCCTCTGGAGGGAAGAGACAATCTCCTTCCTGCTGGAAAAAGCCACTATAGAGCTGGGGCTGGGAGGGGGTTGGGCAAAGGCAGCTTCTGAGCACAACTTCAGGTGTGAGGGCAGGAGCAGGAGTGGGAGGAGTCCTGAGGCCCACCGCAGGGCACCCCGTGCTCCCCTGTGGGTAGGTCTGTGCCCTGTTAGGACCTACCAGCCAGCCCTTGTGTAACTCCCAATTGAGGAGGGATCTTGGGTTCCCCACTTGGCGTAGATCCTGGAAAATGCCCAAGAGTCCGCTCAGGGCTGATCTCAGCAAAGTGGGGCCTTCACGGCTGGGGGAGTCTTAGAAGTGGGAACGAGTCTCCAGGGGTGGGAGGGAGTCTGGGCCTACAAAGCCTGGGGCCTTGGGGTCTGCTGGTTTGTGCCCCAACATGATGTACTCACCTTTGGAGGTGGCGTCTGCTGCTCCCTGGGACAGCAGAGGTCTGGTTAGCCTGCCCCTCTCCTGAAGTCTTCCTGCTCCTCCCTCCCAACACTCACACCCCCCTTGACCACTAGCCTCCTACCTTCCGAGATTCCTGGGGGGTTATGGTAGGCCTGCAGGGAGCAGGTTGGGGACAGAACTCAGGTCTTTATCATGTCATGAGTAGCACCCCAGTAAACCCAGCCTCCCAACTGCTCCTGTCACCCCTGCCAGCAACCCCAGGACACTGCATCAGGGCTGGGGGAGCCTGAATTGGTGCCCCCTTGCTCGCTCTCAGGCATGTGCCTGTGTATCTGGTGGGGCACTCACCTGGGCACCACAGGTGTCACTGGCAGAGGGACCGGGGGCAGCAGAACTTGAGAGCTCAGAGTCCAAGTCAAGGCCGGAACTGAAACAGAGAGGGCAGGCTGGGCTTGGATGGGCAGCAGCCCGGGAAATCCAGGCGGTGGGTCAGGGAGGAGCTGCAACAGCTGCAGGGTCTGCGGCTTCTCTGCAGTGGGGCTTTCTGGGAGTCCTTCCAACATGAGGGCAAGGCTTGCCTGGCTGCAGGGCTGAGAGATCCACCCAGACCTTGCTCTAGCGGGGTGGGGTCACCTCCCGGTAGAAACAGAGTGGGTCAGCCTGGGCCAAGAAGCAAAGAGATTTGTGGTGTCTGAGGGTAACTGTGTGTTGGGGGGTGGGGAGAAGATGGGGCAGGAGAGGGAGCCTGCTGGGGACAGCTGGATGCAGCAGGACTAGATGGTCTGGGGAAAAGGAGCAGCACCTGGGTCAGGCTCACACTCCAGGTAGATGTCCTCCTCAGGTTTCTTCACAAGGTTTGACACCTAGGGTAGGGAGGGGTGTAGGTGGCCAGCCCTGGGGGTTCACTTCAGGAGGAGGGGGCCTCTGACCTAAGCAGTGGGGCGGGGCAGAGAAGGAGGCAGTAATGGGGGAGGCTCGGGCACCTCACTCTCTTCTCACCAAGTGGCCTTTTCTAGAAATCAGCTTGAGTGGTCAAAAGTGCTCCTCTGCCTGGGAGGGGCATCCTGTAAGCCCCTCCCCTTCAGAGACAGCACAGGAAGTGCAGGTGCTGGGAGGCCCTCAGGACAGCAATCCCACACCTGCCAGGGGCCTGAGGCACTGGCCTTTCCACTAGTTTCAGGGATCTTTCCTGGCCCTCCCAGGACCACCCACCCAAGTGGATTTCCAGCCAGAACCCTAGAATGGAGGTGGAGATAGGGCAGCTCACCACTCTGGCAGGTGCACCCCACTCTGCATGGAAAAAGAGAGAACCAGAGGGGAGAGGGTGAGAACCCTGGGAGATCTCTGCAGAGGGTCTTCAGAGCCAGCTTCAAAGCCCCAGGGAAAGCCATGCTCTACCCAACCCTGTGGGTGTCCACCTTGCCCTCCCCACCCATTTGCCAGGCATGGCTCCAGATGACTTTGGGCTGGTCCAAAAAACAAAGCCACTCTCAAGGTCAGGAGGGTTTAGCAACCAGTGAGCACAGTAGAAGGGAATGTGCTGGCCTTGAGCAGGAGAAGGTCACCCTGCAAGGCCTCTTCTTTCCTGAGGTCCCTCCCTGTCCTGACCTCCCAGGGTTCCTCAGGGCAATGGACCATAGGGTCTAGTCTGTGGACAGCGGTGGCAATGGTTACAGGCAGAACCAGAATGCCCTTTATAGGGACTGGCTCCAGATGTCTCAGTAGAAGGCCCTCAAGACTGACCACTTCATTGTGGGGTGTCCCTCACCTGACCCAGAGATCACTCCAGGTGCAGACAGGGCTGGAGTCTAGGCCATTTGCTCACTGCCTACCTAGACTCCCTACCTCTGGGGATTGGCAGGTAGAAAGGAGGGGCAGCTGAGAAGGTGATGAGCCAGCTCAATTCTACTCCGTGGGGGGCGAGGACTCCCTTCCCAGGATGCAGCCAGGAAAGAGAGGACTCCCCTTACCTCGCCTCCCAAAGTCAGGTGCCTGCTTCGAGGCCACCTGCAGGTTCGCTGCTGCCTTCAGCTGTGGGGACAATGGGGCTCGTGAGGGAGGAGGGAGGAGGGACTGAGGCATGGGCAGGCAGGGATGGACTGCCTGGATGGCCAGTGTAACATCCCTGCAGCCTTAAAAACCGCCACCAGACACAAGAAGAAAGGTATTAAGGGACCACACTTGGTTCTGCCTCTCCTCTGTGGCCACTCCCTCCCTGGTTTTTATTCCATTTTTACATACAGAATGAAAGTGGTAGCTTTCAAATCCATAACCCAGATGGAATTCGGAGTGGGGGCTGGCAGTGACCAGCAGCTGAGAGAGGGCTGATTCACTCCCTGAGCAGGGTCCTCAGGCCCAGGGTCCAGGAGGGCCACGGAGCTGGCTCCTGTCCCAGCTTGGGCAAGCTGTGGGAGCAGGAGCGCGTGTCCTGCTGAAGCGATGGGCACTGGAAGGGACCAGGGGCGGGACGACGGCGACCCACGTTACGGGCTCTGTCGTCCGAGCTTGGCCCCTGCATTTCAGAGGCCTCTAGTGCAAACGTGGGCGAGCCTGCCGACGAGGTGCCGCGCGTACTCACCGGGACACGCGGGCCGGGGGAGGCGCGCGCGGGGAAAGAGGCGCCTGCGGGGAGGCCGCTCGCCGGGGCAGGCCGAGGCCGGGGCGGTGGCTTGGAAGGGCCCCCAGGGCCGGGGCGATCTGTAAAAGACCCCCGCTTGTGGGCGGGCTTCCTCCGCAGGGCCCGGGCTTCCTCCGCCGGCCCCCGGCCTCAGTTCTCCCCCGCCCCCGCCCGCTCCCTTCCCTCATTGGCTGCGCGCATCCCCGTCGCCATGGCAACCAGAAGGCCAGCTTCCCTGGCCCGCCGCTGAAGCCCGCGGTGGGAGGCCAGCGCAGGGTGCACTGCGGGCTGGAGGGGACCCGGGCGGCCCCCAGGGAGCGGCCGGGGTCCCAGCCTCCTGCGGCCGCCTCGGTCACGCGCTCGCTCTCTCCCTCCCGCCTCCCCTCTCCGTTCCTCCAGCCCGGAGGCCCCGCAGCCAGGGCGGCTCCCCTCTGTGCCGGCGCAGGCCGGGAGAAAAGGCAAGGCCTCAGGGTCTTCCCTTGTGGGCGCCTCCCGCCTCCACTTGCCGGCCCTCACCCAGGTACAGGGAGTCCTCCTCCGCTCCAGGACGGGTCGCAGGGGCCAGATTGAGAGGCAGAGCTTCACAGGGGGGCAGCTCATACTTGTCCTCCTCATCGTCCTCTTCTCGGGCCTTTAGGAAGGGATGCTGGCCAGGGAAGAATGGAGTAGGTCCAGGACCCCAGTAGCTTCTGCCTGCTGCCCCCTGCCCCACCCCAGCCTCAGCAGCTGGACTTACCCTGTGTCTCCAGGTCTCTGGGGCAGACAGAGGAGAGGGACCCAGCACATCTTCTCTCCAAGCTGAGACATCTAACAGATAGACAGGCCTCACCTCCTCCCAGTCCACCCTCCTCTAGTAACCCACTCTCCATCCTTTTAACTAAAGGAATACAGCACCATGGCAGGGCAGAGCCATGAGGCCATTTTGAAGACCATGGGTGGGCATTTTGGAAACAAGGCTCCCAGCCACAGTCCCACATGGGCTAGTCCTCTGTCCTTGTGATGCAGATGTTGGCCAAGACAGGTGGGAGAGCTGGGTCCCAGTGACCGGTGTTGGGGGCCCTAGGGGACACCCTACTTGTGGGATCCCATCACTTACCCACACATCTGGGGGGTGGAAGGGGTGGCCCCAACCTGCAAGCAGACTGCAGTCAACTCTGCCCAGGGGGCTTTTGAGCTCCTGTCAGCTAGACCTAGCACTCTAGGACATTCTCGCACGTAACAGTGTGAGTGCCCTAGAGTTGTAGGACACCAAGGCCCTGGCACTAGGGCAGCAAGAGCAGGAGGCTGGGGACAGAGCCAGTGCCCTCAGGGTGAAAAGCTAGATGAGTTGGCCCCCAGGTGACAGAGGGTAGGAGTACAGGCAGGGTCCTTGGAGTGGGGTGACAGAGGGTGGGAGTACAGGTAGGGTCCTTGGAGTGGGGTAGACCCAGCACTGCTCCTGGGGCAGGTGCTTTGCAGAGGGTAGGGCAAAGTGGAAGCAAGGGAATGGAGAGCCCTCCCTGGTACTCACTGGGGCCTGCTGCTGCTGCTCCTACGCTCCTCCTGGAAAGAGCCAGAGGGAAGAGGCCGGGTAGTCAGCCTAGCAAGTGCCTCTCGTGCCCTGGCCCCTAGCACAGACAGGCTTGTGTGCTGAGGCTACCCTGGGACCACCAACTCTCACCATGGCAGTCTGGAGGACCTCTACCTCCCTGGAACCCAGGATCTGCGACTGGTGGCCTGGGAACAGGGGCCTATTGTTCCCATTATTTGCATCTCCTAAGCACTGGGAAGGTGGGCCAGCTGTGGCCTACAACTCTAGTGGACTTCACCCAGGACACTCCCAGGGCCCACTCCCAGTCCCAGCTCTCCTCCCCAACAGTTGTGGTCTCCAGTCTCTCTGCCCCTAGGAGCAGACCAAGCCAGACCAGGGCAGGCAGCCTTCCTTGGGCTCTGATCCATGTCCATGCCTCCTCTTCCTCTTGCTCTTCTTCTCATCCCCTGTTTTGCTTGGTTTTAAGCCAGTGCTGGGAATCTAACCCAGGGCCTCAGGGGTGCCAGGGAGAGCCAATTCACACAGCACCATCCCCAGCCTCACAGAGAATGATGCTTTAACTGGTAGTTCCAATTAAGAACGAGATGGCCCTTGCACATACTTCCCTGAGCCCTGGCTCCTGCTACCCTTGGCTGGCGAGTGGTGATCAATGAGCCGAGAGATGAAGGCTAGTGAGGAGCTCAGAAATAGGCCCTGGGATTCAGTGTGACATCATCACTTTTTGATGGATGGGTTTATTCATTCAGTGGGTATTTATTGAACCTCTAGGCACTATTCCAGGAGGTGAAGATGCTGTAGAAAGATGAACAGCATTACGTCTGTATTTCCTTGTTGGATTCTCAAAATAATCTCATGACACAGGCACTAGTTTTATCTATACGTTTCAAAGAAGAGATTGGGTGTGTTAATCAGCTCAAACTTCCACAAAAGAATGCCACAGACTGAGAGGCTTAGAATCTCTGCAGGTCACTGGGGTTGGTTCCTGGTTCTCTCCCTGTGTCCTCACAGACCTCTTATCTGTACACAGAACTATCTCCCACAGACAGCCATACTAAGAGTTAGGGCTTCAGCATGTTAGTGTGGGGACACAACTCAGTCTCTAACGTGGAGGCTCAGAGAAGCTGAAGGGCTTCCCCAAGGCCTGCAATCAGCGAGTGCTGAGGGGGGCTTCTTCCTGAGGTTTGCCTGGGTGCTGACCACCGCAGATCCTCCTCTAACATGGGATCTGAACCCTGATCCCCTGTGATGCCATTAGATCCTTTGGCACTTGTGGGCTTCCTTGAGGACCAAGTAAATTTTGGAACACTGACTTCTGAGAAGTGTTGAGATAAAGGGAGGGCAGGTCGGGTGTCTGACCATTTGAGCCACAAAATACACTATAATTGTGAATATGGGACCTTCTCAGGTCTGTAGCTTCCTTGCATTTTCTGCTTTGGTGATGACTGACCATTGGCACAAAGAAGAAATCGAGCCCAGGCACCTGTGCTTTTGGAGGGCATGAAGCTGGGGCACTGAGGAGAGAGCCTGGGGCTGGAGTTAGCCATGGCCTTAAGAGGAGACCAGGTGAGTCATGGGACCAGCATTTCAGAAGCCATGAAGAGCTGGGTGCCGTGGCACATGCCTGAGATCCCAGGGACTGGGGAGGCTGAGGCAAAGGATCGCAAGTTTGAGGCCAGCCTGGGTAATTTAGCAAGGCCCACGGTAACTTAGGAAGACCTTGTCTCAAAAGAGAAAATTAAAAGGGCTGGGGATGTGGCTCAGTGGTAACCCGGTTCAATCTGTAATACAAAAAAAGAAAAAAATAAATAAAAGCCATGCAGAGTCACTGGGGTGGTTTAACAGGGAACCCTAGTGGTGCAGGAAAAATGACAACAAAAAAGAACAAGAGTCAAGCCAGGAGCTGGGCAGGTGGCACACGCCTGTAATACCAGTAGCCAGGGAGGCTAAGGCAGGAGGATTGTGAGCTCAAAGCCAGCCTCAGCAATGTATGGTGAGGGGCTGAGCAACTCAGTGAGACCCTGTCTCTAAATAAAATATAAAATAGGGCTGGGGATGGGGTTCAGTGGTCGAGTGCCCTTGGGTTCAATCCCCAGTAACAACCACCAAAAAAACAAGAGTCAAGCTAGGCACACAGGTCCACTCCTGTCCTTCCCTCCTAGCTAGCTGACTGTAAGGCAGGGGCAACTTCCCTCACCCACAGAGACCTCCTATGGGATTAGAGACCACAAACCAGAGCGCAAAGAAGGTTCTGGACACACCCCACCATTAAACCCCAGTAGAGCCCTTCCCAGACTCCCCGCCCTCACCCCAGCGGTCTCTTCCCTCTGCCTGAGGTTTGCATAGGCAAATGCCATGGCCCGGGTGGAGGCTGCAGCCCAAGCCATCTGGGCAGGCCACCACCAGCACGAACCTGGGAGCAGGCAGGAGGGTGCTCGGCGACCCCCAGCCCTGCAGAACCTTGCTGTTTACTCTCACACAGGCCAATTTGGACACCTCCTCCTCATCTCTGGCACAGGTGCTTTGCTAAGCCACAGACATTCCCTCTGGAGGAGTCCCTAGAAACATTCGTAGAAACTCACACTGTGAAGGTTTACTGTCACACGCTCTGGCAGCACCCAGAACCATTTTATGGTTCTTCCAGAGCACAAGGTGATTCTCAGATTTTTCAGAGCCCAGCTTCCAATGTCCAGTGAGAGCAGGCCACAGTGTATAGGAGCGTCTAAATCCACCTTAGAAAACCAGCAGCCAGCGGGGTGCATGCACTCATCTGTAATCCCGGCCACCCAGTGGCTAAGGTAGCAGGACCTCAAGTTTGAGGCCAGTCTTGGCAATTTAGCTAGACACTGTCTCAAACTAAAAAGGGCTGGGGATGCAGCTCAGCCACAGAGCACTTGCTGAGCACATGTGAGACCCTGGGTTTGGTCCCTCTACTGCAAAACAAAATAAAATGGTGGTGAGGGGGGCCTGGGGCTGGGGCTCAGGGGCAGAGCGCTTGCCTAGCACATGTGAGGCTCAGGGTTCGATTCTCAACACCACATAAAAATAAATAAAGGTGTTGTGTCCATCGACAACTAAAAAAAAAAAAAAAAAAAGTGGGGGTGGGGGTGGATAGAGCCATTTAGAGCAGTGTTTTTTCCATTTGTCTGATCATAAGAATTATGGAGGGGGTTGTCAAAAATCAATCGGTTCTGGCCAGGTGTTATGATGCTCACCTGTGACCCCAGCAACTCTGGAGGCTGAGGCATGAAAAGCACAAGTTCTAGGTCAGCCTCAAAACTTAGCACTGCTCTAAGCTCAACTACCCCCAACCCCTGCCCTCCACCCAGGACCCCCAGCACATTTGTTTGTCATAAGTTATTTCCACCCACACTAGCCAGAGCTGGTTAAGAACTCTAACCTAGAGAGGAAACCAGAGCATCAGTGGGGTCACACCAAATGTCTGCCAAGAAGCCACAGGGGGAGCCCCAGTGTGGGTGCCCCCAGGAAGGAGGGACCAAGAGGACCCAGAGTCATGGCCATAGCTTTACTCTTAGACCCTTGGAATTTTTAAAATGACAATAATATTATTGATAATAATAAGCTAGGTGCAGTGGTGCACGCCTGTAATCCTGGCAGCCCAGAAGTCTGAGACAGGAGAGTTTAAGGCTGGCCTTAGTAATTTAGCAAAGTACTAAGCGACTTA